CTACATATTCTACAATCAGTGTTACTTTTAGATTATCAACCATTATTTTTTAAGTGAAGCCTAATTTTATAGCCCGAGTCACTCTCCAAGTATGGCAGTCGGCCCAGAATCGAAGCAACTGGCTTATCCATAAATGCTCTGTGGCCACTGACTCTGACAGACAATGCAGCAATTACATTTACCCAGCATTAATCCAACACTTTTAGGTTCCAAGAACTTTGGAGGGCCCTTTCTCTTTTAACTTCAAGGGTGAAGTTATGGTCTCCATTTTATAGAGGAAGTAATCAAGGCTCAGAGAAAACCGAAATGACTTGTGCCCAGGGTCACACAAGTGGCAGAGCTGAGATTTGAGATTCTCTAAATCCCACGTTCTTTCCTGACTTCCACCTTAACAGTGTACTCCCTATCCTGGGCTGCTTTAGGGGCTTACCACGGGCCAGACACCCAGCTGGACGCCTCGTGCATATGAGCCCAGTTTAAATCCTCCCTGTTATGCAATGAGACAGTATTATTATTCCTACTTTACGGACAAGGAAATGGAGCCTGAGGTAAAGTCACTGTCCAAGGTCACAGTACTGGATCTCCTCAAGTCTGAACTCAGAAGCACATGCTCTTGGCCACTGTATTGTACTGCTTCCTTTCATGTATAAATGGCCTGTTTCATTAGGAAGAGTCAGTGGGCTTTTTTAGTAAATTATTGTATTAAATTCAAGGACATTGAGATTTGGCCTACTCATACATTTACTTAAGTTTCTTCTATAACACTAAAAACCCAGTCCTGTGGACACCTGTGAGAAACCTAGAAATGTACTGTGTGAAAGAATTCCCTCTACCCCACTGTCAAGAAGCAGTCAGGCTAAAATTTCACTACTACTATCCTTAAGAGCTAATCATTTCCTCAGCTTTCTCTTCTCTAGTTCATTCACCCAATCAATAACCACATCACTTAGAATCTATTCAGAGACAAACACATATCAAATAATCACAAAATTAAAAATTGTGATAAAAGCACTACGAAGGAAAAGTAAGCACAAGGGGGTTCCAAACAATTTATATTGGGAAGTCTGGCCAAGCAGGTAAAGGAAATGCAAGGAATGTGAGATGTGCAGGAAGAGTTGGGAGTTAATTTGAAAGGGAGTCAGGAAGAGCTTTCAGTCCCAGTAAACAGTACGTGCAAAGGCCCTGAGGTAGAAGGGAACCATGTATGCAAGGCCCTGAAAAGGGGCCGGACACAGCAGTGGTAAGGCCCTGCAGCAAAGAGAAATTAAGGGTCCCAAGTAGAGTACAACATGGTCAGATCTACATTTTTAATGATTACTCTGTGTCACACAGAAGCAAAGTGACTCTCTGAAGCAACCTTTGCCAGAACATAGTTCAAAGAACTCTACCCGGATCCGGCAAAACAAGTTTGTTTGTTTCTTCTTTTTTCTTCTCTCCAGGGTGTGGCATACCACCCGGGCTGTGAACTAGCTCCCTCCTCCTCCTGTTTCGTTTGTGAAGTTTAAAGGCCCGATCTTTTATCAGGTCTGGGACCTGTTTTTCTTTTAATAGCCCCCAGTAAACTACTCACCTCTTTCCAGGTCCCTCCTCATTCTCTCACCTCTCCACTCCCTCCAATTATGCCAAGGGGCCCATGAGTGACAACAGGTCCTTTTGGGGCTTTCTTAGGTGAAGGATGGAGACAAGCTGAGAAAGAACCACAGATCTGCTCTCTCACACTCCCCTCACACCCAACCAAGTACAGTTTAAAAAAAAAAAAAAAAGGCAAATCTGAGAGAACGTCACTCCCCAGGTTAAAATTCCCAGACTCCGCAATGCCTTCTTGGCCACACACATTGCCCCCCAACCTGGTGGCCTCAGCCAATGCAGCATTAGCTCCTGCTGGCCCAGCTCCAAGCTTTCACAAGTGCTTTCAGTTTCTCCACTGCAAGAAGCTTCATGTCACCCCACCCTGCACTGCCAAGAGTCCTTAGCACCCACTGACACTTCCTCCAGGAAGCCATTCCTACCGCACCCAAGAACTGCCCTCCTCTGAGTTCCAACACTACCCTAAGAAAGCAGGTTTTTTTCACGTCATTGTACATGGTTCACTGCCTACCTCCCCAGGCCCCAAACACACGCATGCACGTGCGTGCACACATACACATACACTCAGTAGCTCCAGGAGAGCACATTCTGGGTGTCATGGCCCCAGCATCTAGCACGATGCCTGGCACCTAGTTGGGACCCCTCTAAATATTTACTGAATGAATATTAACTGAAGTAATGAGCAAATGAAAATGGACACTTCCAGAGTCTCCCAGGAGCAGAAAGCGAGGCCTTTAATGAGAATTTTCCCTTCCTAAAAGTCTGATTGTGAATGTGACCATGAAACACGCAAAGTCACAAACATTAGAAAAGAGGCTACATCTCACTCTCAGAAATCTGAAAGGATAAAAAAAATATCAATGGAGGGCACATAACAGGCTCATGGTTTTGGGGACCAAAACTTCAGGGAAGTTCTCAGGTTTTAGGGCAACAGTAGGCATCTGGGAGAGAAGGTGTTCATGATGGGCACCCAATAAAAAGCCAGGACAGGGGGCGCCTGGGTGGCTCAGTTGGTTAGGCGACTGCCTTCGGCTCAGGTCATGATCCTGGAGTCCCGGGATTGAGCCCCATGTAGGGCTCTCTGCTCAGCAGGGAGTCTGCTTCTCCCTCTGACCCTCACCCCTCTTTTTCTCTCTCTCAAAAATAAATTAAAAAAAAAAAAAAAGCCAGGACAGAAACGCTGACAGTTCCTACACGAACCCATTCCGGCTCCTGAACGTCAAGTACACCACGTAACTGAGCTTGTTTTCAATTCAGGGCACAGTTCTCCCTTCTGCCTACTATACTCCAGGTCTTGTTGCCATTAGTCTTATGTCCTTTATAACCACCTCCTGGCCCTTCACCCTTCTCTTTTTTTTTGCAGTCCTTCAAAAATACCAACCATGTATTGCCCTCAAAGGAGGGCAGTTTGCTTTCTTGGCTGAATTCGAAAGGGATTAATAATAATATTGCTCAGGTCTGAATTAGGGACTTGCTACTTGAAGTGTGGTCACTGGACCAGCATCACATCAGTTGAGAGTTTGTTAGAAATGCAGAATCAGCCCCACCCGAGACCTACGGATTCAGAATTAGCACTGAAACAGCTCCCCAGGGGATTCCTATGCACCTTAAAGTTTGAAGAGCCCTAGAGCCAGATCCTACATTCGTTCAGCAAATATTTAGTAAACCCAAGTAGGGTACACAGTAGGCATTCAACATATACGTGAGGATGTGAATGGTGTGGGGAAAAGGGTAAGCACAGACATTCCACTGAGGTTGAGAAGCTCCAGTAAATACTAAAAACGGCATCACTGGGGAGAGAGGTTCCAGCAGGATTAATAATCTTTACTACATCAAAATTCAGAAGTGGCCCCCGCAGCTTGGTTGCGGGAATCTGGACTCTGGGAACTTGACCCTGTTTGCTGCAGGCCAGAGATATACATGGGAGGTGTGTGAGTGTCTCTTCCCCGCCTCAGCCACAGGCCGCAGGAGCTGACGAGGCCAAGTCCCCGCCCCCCTCAGCTGTCACCCTGTCAAAACAAAGCCGCTGCTGACAGCGCAGGGCCAGCCTGCCCCGCGGCCTCGGGCAATCCTCCCACCCCGGGAGCACGGCGCCCACATCTGGATCTGCAGCTGAAGGGCTACGGGGGGGGGGGGGGGGGGGCCGAGAGCTGGGATGGAAAGGGGATGGCAAGACACGCGCGTCCTCAAACTGAGCCGTAGTGCCCGCCGCGCTGGGCTGTCACCTTGCCAAATCCTGTTTACACCTCGAGCAGCTGGGACAGCGTTTTAACTAAACAAGTAATAATACAATAATGACGGGGCTGTCACCGCGCGCAGCAGCGCCTCCGCCCTCAGCCTAGGGCGCCGGGAGCTCCCGGACCCTCGCCTCGGGCTGTGCCCACGTTCCCACCCCGCGCGTTCCGCCCCCTCGATCTCCCAAAGCGCTGGGAGTCCTGAAGCCAATTTCACTCTCACTCCCTTCCACTCAGCTCCTCCCAATGGGACATGGAGAGAGAACGAAGAAGAGGGGTCGCTCAGATCCCCCCCAAAAGAGTTTCCTTGGCCCTGGGACGCTCGCCACTTAGTAAGCGCGGCTCCACTCTCTGAAAGGTGCCTCCGGCGAACTCCTACAGAGCAACAAAGCCCCAGGGCAGCCCAGGAGCGCAAACGCAGAGGCAACTCCTTCCAAAGGGGAAGAATGAAAGGCTCCCGATCTGAGCGATCCCCTCCGTCCAACCCAACAGGACTCTTGTCCGAGAAGCAGCTAATTGGGCGCGGGCGACAGCAGCACTTCCGCGGTGCAGCGGCCCCGGGCGGGAGGCGGGAGGCGGGGGCGGGGGGCTGGAGGGGGAGGGGGCGGGGGTCCCGCGGGCAGGGCCCTAGCCCCCCTGGGCGGCCGGGGAGCGGCGAGCGAGTACCTTGCAGGCGGAGTACACTCCGAGTTTCTCCAGTTTCTTGGCCCGCGGAGCCGAGCGCAGCTGCGCCTTCTTCACGGCGATCCGGGCCGAGCCGCCGCCTCCTGGTCCTTCGGCCGTGCCCGCCGCCGCCACTGCCGTCGCCGGTCCGCAGGCGCCCGAGCCCCCGGCGGCGGCGGCGCACGGGGAGCCCTGCGGCGGCGCGGGCGGCGGCGCGGGGGGCTGCGGGGGCAGCGCCCCGAGCCCGGCCCCTGCCCCGGCTCCTGCCCCGCCGCCGCCCGGCCCGGCCCCGCCAGCCTCGGACATGCCGCCCCGGAGCACGGCAGGAGGCGCCGAGTGTCAGGCGCCGCCGCCGCCGCCGCCGCCGCCAGGGTCTCCCTCTCGGGCTCTGGTCGCCGGGAGAGCGAGACCCTCCCCCCACGCCCTCCCGCCCCCTTCGCCCACCCCCCTCCCCGCCCCCGCCCTCCCCCGCGCGCGCCGCTCGCTGGGCTCGCTCCGGCCGCGGCCCGCGCGCTGATGGTGGCGGCGGCGGCGGCAGCTGCTCCCCCAGGAGGGAGGGGACTAGCGGCTCCGCGGCCGCTGCCGCCGCCGCCACGGCACACGCCCTCCCCCGGTTCTGCTCCCCGGGGTTCTACTCCGCGCCCCGGCCGCGGACATGTTCCCAGGGGCTGCGGACTGGGGGTGCGGGCCGGCGGGTCGCAACCTTTCGGTGTGTGTCGGGCCCGGGCGGCCCCCCTCCGCCGGCCTCCTTCCCGCTGCCCGCGGGGTTTGCGCCCCCCACCCCCGCGCCTCGGCACCTAGCGCTCGCCCGCCAGGGGGCGAGGCCAAGCTCTGGGTAAGGAGGAGGGAGGGGTGAGGGTGGGGGTAGGGGGCTGGAGCCCAAGCACCTGCTGGCCGCCCCCGTCTCCGCAGCCCCCCCAGCCGACCCCCGCCTTCCCGAACGAGGCAGAGCCTCCCAGTTATTTGTCCTTCCACTCTATTCCACCCTCTCCGCACAGAGACAACTTCCTCCACCCTAGCGGGAGCCAGAGGAAAAAAATATTTTTGAAAAGAACCCGTCCAAGCTAATCCTTTTCTTTGTTGCTAATTCACCAAAATAAAGGCGTAATGTTTTCTATTTCTCTTTTTAAATACTTTTCTGCGCAAGTTTTTTTAAATTAAGAACGCTTTCTTCCTACAGCAGTGTCTGGATCCCATCTGCTGGAGGATAAAAAGACTGTTAATATTTTCTGTAATTTTTGTTTAAAAGCACCGGTAGTTAAAAAGAACGGTTGTCTAAAAGCACTGTCAAAATGAAAGCTATTCGCAGTGTGAAAAGTTTGAATACAAAAAGTTTGTTAATAGGGCTCATCTCTGCGTGGTGGGATTATAACCTTGCTATTTTCTTTTATATAATGTTCCATAGTTTTCAAAATTGATATCGCTAGCATTCATATTAACCATGAAAAAAATTTAAGCAGCATCCAAAAGAATGAGTGTTGATTTTGGCTTCACACTTAAAAAATTAAAAAAAAAAAAAACACCTCGACTCAGCGTTTTCTGTTGAAAACTGTCGTTTTCATTGTTGATGACAATGAGGAGGGTGGTGTTTAGTAAGGTGGAGTGCACATTCCAGTTTTGCATTTGAAAGTTGTGCACTCTTGGCCTTTCTAAAACAGTTTTTAAAAGCCCAACTCTATTTCTCGGGGCTCTTCACAAGTGCGTGCTTTTGTAATATGAGTCATAATTTTTGTGTAATATGGGTCATAATGTGAGTATTATCAAATTCTTTGCATGCCATGTAGCTCTCTGCCAGAGATGCCTTAAGGAATGTGCTTTTCCCTGGAAACATTCCCCTTGCCATCCCGTTTTTCCAGTTAATTTTCTCTCTTTTTTTCCAGATTCTCTGTGTTCTTTTGACTTTTAATGCAGAGTGATGTTTTAAAATGAAAAATAGTTTGTTTTATCTAAACAGTGACATTAGACAGCACAAAAGGAAATAGCCTCTCCCAACTTGAGTCTAGCCTGAAGAGGGGCGGGGTGGGAAATGGCAGACTCTGGTCAGGTTCCATCAGGACAGTCTCTTGCGTGACTGGTATGCTTCACTTTAGCACTGCTCCTCTCTCCTGATTCTACTGAGGTTTTGCAGATTATTAGCCATTCTCACCACACCAGGATGGGAATCTTAAAGGCTATGATCCCCAGATCAAAGTCTAACATCATGATGGCAGCAGACATTGATAGGGGTTTGGGTTCCATATGCAGGAGTTTGTCAAACTGATGCGATGGTCCACTTGAGATCTGTGCATTTTACTGGATATAGATTTCCCTCAAATATTTTTTAAAAGTTATAATATTAAACTCCAGTTAATGGTACTCATGCTGAAAGTTTAGGGGTACAGTGTCATCTGCAGCTTGCTTATCAAAAAATAAGATAAATTGGGGCACCTGGGTGGTTCAATCAATTAAGCGTCCGACTCTTGATTTGGGCTCAGGTCATGATCTCAGGGTGGTGGGATCCAGCCCTGCAACCAGCTGTGCACTCAGCGGGGAGTCAGCTTGAGGATTCTCTCCCTCTCACCCTGCCCCTCCTCCTGCGTGCCCTCTCTCTCAAAAATAAATAAATAAGTCTTTAAAAAAGTAAAAAAAAATTCTCTCTATCCCTCTTCCTTTACCCCTCCCCCCTCTCCTTCCCTCTCTGAAAAATAAATTAGGGCACCTGGGTGACTCAGTCTGTTAAGCGTCTGCCTTCGGCTCAGGTCATGATCCTGGGGGGCTCCCTGCTCAGCGGGGAGTCTGCTTCTCCCTCTCCTTCTACCCCTCCCCCTCCCCCTGCTCTCACGCACGCGCTCTCTCGTTCTCTCTCTCTCAGATAAAAATCTTTTAAAAAATTAAAAAATTTTAAAAATTAAAAAAATGAATTAAAAAAATTTTTAAAAACTGAATGGTCAAATAGGCAGATGAACAGATTAGGTGATAAAGCAATCAGTAAAATGTTAATAATGGAATCTAGGTAGTGAGCATAGGAGTGTTCACTGGGCAGTTCTTTCAATTTTTCTGTATGTTTGAAATTTTCCATAATAAAATGTTGGGAGAAAACCCCAGCTTTAATATTAACTCACCCATCACCTCCCCTCTCCACAGCCAGCCTCAGAATTCGGGAGGCAGGCTATTTCCAGAATGTTTTGAAGCAGAAGAAAACAAACTCATTTCAGTCCATCCTGAAAACCATCACTGTCTGAATGGTGAATGGCTTGTGACATCAACTGAACATTATTTTTCATTATTTCCCTGCTCAGAGCACCCAGATGACATACTGCCTTAGGCTGCAGGCCCACAGTTTCAAGGCCTATTCAAAGTGTGTTATGAATACCAGGCAGGGACATTTCAAGGGCAAAGGATTCAGGAGGCTTGTTGCCTCTTCATAATCAGACTGTTGTGAGCATTCAGTAAGTTCCTGGGTGCAGAGCCCTTTTACGAAGTGAGTACCAAGACAATAACAGGCAATGTTTTGGTTTATATTTACAACTGTGAAAGGCTTTCAATCTAAAATGGAACCAGAGGAGGGCGCCTGGCTGGCTCAATTGGTAGAGTATGTGACTCTTGATCTCCAGGTTGTGAGTTTGAGGTCCACGTGAGGGGTAGAGTTTACTTAATAAAATAAATAAAATAAAATGGAACTGGACTATATGCAATGGAGAATCTCACACATGCATCCTCAAAAGAACAGAACTTAAGAACTGAAGATGATTTCCTGTAAATGCCTGATTTAAAGAAGACAAAGGCTTATCTCCTGACCAATGAACATGCACTAAGAATCTCTTCCCATCCTCAAGCCAATGAACTTAAATGCTTGGACTCTGGCTGGACTTTCTCCTTGCCCATAAATACAGCCCACCCCAAGCCCTCAATGGATTCACCTGTAGCTTGCTACAGCATCTGTTTCCTGAATGGCATTCCTTTGCTATTCCCAAAAAATTCAACTTCTGGTAATTTGAGCTTGCCTCAGTTTACCTCTTTATTGAGACTAACACAATTTACTTAGGTAAGGAAGCCACAATTAGAAAATGAAGAGCTTGGGGAGTAGGAATTGTAGGGAGCAGTTTGACCCCTGGAGTTTAATTCTGGCATATTAGTACTATAGAATATTATGTTCCTGTTAAAAGAATGACCTTTATACAAATATAATAGCATAGACAGATCTCCAAGAAGTACTGTTGAATGAACCCTGTACAGTTTAATACCATTTATATTAAAAACAGCCACACTGACCGGTAAGCCCAGTTTTGTATATGTTCAATGAGTGCAAAAGCAAGAGCAATGTTCAGAAAGATACATAGCAAACTCTTAAATGTATTTATCTTTCACTAGGCATCCTTGAGAATGAAACTGATTTTTCTTGGGATGTCTGGGTGGCTCAGCCGGTGAAGTGTCTGCCTTCGGCTCGGGTCATGATCCCAGGGTCCTGGGATCGAGCCCGCATCGGGCTCCTTGCTCTGCCGGGAGCCTGCTTCTCCCTCTCCCTTTGCCTGCCACTCCCCCTGCTTGTGCTCTCTCTTTCTCTTCCTCAATCTCTCACTCTCAAATAAATACAATCTTTAAAAAAGTAAAATAAATAAATAAAAATAAAACAGATTTTTCTCATTTTTATATCCCTAGTTCCTCACTCAAAGTTCTTAGTAAGTACCAGTAGTCATCTCTACCTATAAATTCTATGTTCCATCTGTTCATATTTCTCTCCACAGCTATCATCTCTTGCCCAGACTACTAATAACAACTTCCTAACTGGTCTCTTTGCTTTTACCCTGGCTCTATCACAATCCCCTCTTCAAAAGACAGAGTTTTAAAACTGTAAGTACAAACCTGATCCCACAGTTCCCTGCTTGAAACCCTTTAATGGCTTCTCACAACATTTAAAATACAGTCTCAGGGATGCCTGCGTGGCTCAGTTAGTTCTGTGTCTGCCTTCGGCTCAGGTCATGATCCCAGAGCCCTGGGATCAAGTCCCGAATCCGGGCTCCCTGCTTCTCCCTCTGCCTGCCACTCCCCCTGCTTGTGCTCTCTCTCTCTCTCCCTCTGAAAATAAATAAAATTTTTTAAGCAATAAAATAAAATACAGCCTCAACTCCATCATCTGCTTGGCAAAGTCCAGCCTCTCCTAGCCCTTTCCCCAGGGAGTGGCGAGCTCCAGCCAAGCTCAGGAAGCTCTTTCCTGCAGGGGCCTTCCCATTGGCTACACTGCTCGACGCCCTCCGACAGCATGGCTGCGCCCCCACCCCACCTCGGTGCATCTAGCACCCCTTGCTCAGACATGCCTTCTCATCTAAGAAAGGCAAGTTTTGTGACCATCTATGTTACTGCAACCCCCGGCACCTTTTTGCTGTATTCTTTCCTACCAAGCCAACACAGCTCCTGTAAAGCACCAACAAGCCTGAAGCCACAGGGAGATTGAAACTGTCCCCACGGAGGGCCCGACTCCAAGGGCTGAGTCTGGATCAGGTGGTGGCCGAGCAGGTTTGGGCCAGGGTGGCGTCCTTTCTGTCACAGGCACCTGTTTTTAGAGATAGCAGCTTGATGATGACTGTAAAATAAAGACATGCCTTAGTGTGACGCTCCTTGAGCCAACGTCCCCCTGGAAAAAGTGGCTGTAATGACCGGACATTTGTTTTCATAACCTCTAAAATAAATTTTTTCCTTCTAAGGAAAAATTACTGAAAAACAATTATAAAATGATTCCTAAGGTTCGGAGACATAAATTATTTTTCCCTAGTTTTCAAGCGTTTATGCAATTAAATCCTCATTTCTTTTTTTTTTTTTTTAAACTTTATTTATTTGACAGAGAGAGAAAGCGAGAGAGGGAACACAAGCAGGGGGAGTGGGAGAGGGAGAAGCAGGCTTCCCGCTGAGCCGGGAGCCCCATGCCATGCGGGGCTCTATTCCAGGACCCCGGGCTCATGACCCAAGCTGAAGGCAGACACTTACCGACTGAGCCACCAGGTGCCCCTTAAATCCTCATTTCTACAATGAGTCTTAGACTTGCCCCAAATACCATTAGTGCCATCTTATTCATTTTTATTTTTAATTTTCTTTTTAATTATTCTTAATAACAACTTTCCATATTTAATATGAATACGCCTAAATGTGTTTGGCCGAACACTGCCCTTGTAAAAAGAGGTTTTTTTCCCCATTGTCACTGTTTTTTGTCTTAAATTCTAACAGATATGTTTGTCAGCCTACCTACCATTTACAATAAAGGTACAAAGCAAGTAAAAGAAATGAAGACTTCTTTCTTCTGAATTCAGGCTAAGTGGCTGACTGCTTTTTTAGGGCAATATGTGAGTATTTATCTCTTTGAATAACTTGAAAATTATATTTAAAAAGTCAAATTTGGGGGATACCCAACTGGCTCAGTAAGTTGAGCATGCAACTCTTGATCTCAGGGTTGTAAGTTTGAGCCCTACAGTTGAGGCTACTTAAAAAAAAAAAATCAAATTTTCAAAGAACCAAACTTTGGTATGACCTAAATTTTCTGTAACAATTTTCTGTATCTGAATAGAGGTATCCCCCCACTTTCAGAAAGTTCACATTCCAACCCTTCCCTTTTATGAAAGACCTCAGTTAGTATGGTAAAGGGCTTTTTTTGTAAAAGCAAAAAGCCTCTTCAGATTTCTTTCAGTTGGTGAAAACAGTTGCTGGGATATTTATTCTATTTTTTTAGTAGACTTTTTTTTTTAAAGATATAACATCTATTAAGTGCCCTAATTGTAATGGTCTCACTCAATGAATTTTTATATATGCATATACTTGGCCACTCGTTATCCAGATTGAGATACAGAACATTCCCAACACCCAAGAAGCCTCCCTTTTGCCCCTTTCTAGTCAGTACCCTCAGGCAATCATTATTCTGGCTTTATCATCATAGATTAGTCTTGCCTGTTCTTGAATTTCATATGACTATAATCATATAGCATGGACTCTGGTTATGAGGCTCCTTTTTGAATACAGTTATATTTATGACCCCATCATGTTGTTCCATGTAGCCATATGTCACTTCTTTTTCCTGTTGCATAGTATTCCATTCTATGACTATACCATAGCTTATCCATTCTCTCCTATTGATGAGCATATCCAATTCTTTACTACTATGAATAAAGTTGCTATGAATATTCTTTTGTTTGGTTGGTTGGGTTTTTTTTTTTTAAGATTTTATTTATTCATTTTAGAGAGAGAGAGGAGAGGAGAGGGGCAGAGGGAGAGGGAGAAAAAATCTGAAGCAGAATCTGCATTGAGCACGGAGCCCAACATGGGGCTCAAATCCCACAACGGTGAGATCATGACCTGAGCTGAAACCAAGAGTCGGACGTTCAACCAACTGAGCCACCCAGGTGCCCCTGAATATTCTTATAATGCTTTTTTGTGCTCATATATGCTCATTTCTCCTATACCTAGGAGTATGGTTGCTGCATCATAGGGATAGTGTACATTGAGCTTTAATAGATGCTGCCAGTTTTCCAAAGTGGCTGTACCAATTTATGCTCCTGTGTGCAGTGTTGCACGTCCTCATCAAACTTTGGTATCATCAGTGTCTTTCATTTTCACCATTTTGGTGGTTGTAAAATGGTATCTCCTTGTGTGTGTGTGTGTGTGGTTTTTTATAATTAACATACAACGTATTATTTGTTTCATTCCTTGTGGTTTTAATTAGCATTTTCAACATGCATAATAATGTTGAGCACATTCTCATTTGCTTATTGGCATTTTGGATTTCCTCTTTTGTGAAATAAATGCCTGTTCAAGTGTTTTACCCACTTTAAAATTAGTTTGTCTTTTTTTATTTTTTAGTAGATTTTTAAGGTATATTTCTGATTTGAAGCCTTCGATGGATATATATGTTGCAAATCTCTTCTCTTAGTTTGAGGCTTGATCTTTCACTCTCTTAATAGTATCCTTGATGAAGAGATACTCTTATTATATTGGTCTGATTTATTAATATTTTCTTCTATGTTTAGTGTTTTTGTGTTCCATGTAAAAACTCTTTGCCTAACCCAGTTCTTCTAAGTGTTCTCTGAGTTTTATTGAGAGAGAGAAAGAGAGCACAAGCAGGGGGGAGCGGCAGGAAGAGGGAGAAGCAGACCCCCCGTGGAGCAAGGTGGGACCTGATCCCAGGACCCTGGGATCATGACCTGAGCAGAAGGCAGCTGCTTAACCAACTGAGCAACCCAGGCGTCCCAAGTTTTACTGTTCTTATCTTTCACATTCAAGTCCTGTTGCATCTCTATCAATTGCTGATTATAGTGTGAGGTAGTGGGCAGCGTCTTATTAAAATTTTCTCTTTGTGTATAATTTTTAAACTATCATTGTTAAATGTTTGTACCAGGAGTACCTTACAGCATGACCTTAGATGTCCATCTTTACAGCAGGTTCACTGTAGTGCTTTTGAAGAACAGTCTGGCACCCCATTAAAGTTTGCATGTTTTCTCATTAGTTTTTAAAACAGCATTGCCCTGGCCTCAGGCAAGAGGAGTTTCTACTCTGAGACCCGTGGTTTATAGCGTCTCTCATGTCATAAACACTCACAAGCAGACTGGGGGAGGGGAATCTCTGTCACTTGTCAGTTGGTATGAGCTCTAGACAGGACAACCCTGTAAGCCTAGACATTCATCTTTTTACCTAACGGTATTATGCCCTAAGGAGACACACTTCCTTGCCTTTCTTGTCCTAGATTCTCAAAACAGAAGGTGTCTGGATCAGAATATTGAGAAGTTCTGAGTGTGAGAGAGCACAGTTTGGAAGTGCAGGAAGGATCTGAGTGGCAGGAATGCTTAGGTAAGAGAAAAGATAAATTAACTTGTCAAATCCTCCTTCTTAGCATGAATGCAAAAGACTCTTGCATACAAAGTATTGCTTCCCAGAGTGCCAAGCAGCCGTTGTCTTGCTTTTCTTTGTGCTCCAATTCATGCTTCTGAAGATCTTCATAAATTAGCACAAGTATTCAGTAACTGTTGCAGTGTCTGAGGAACATTTTGTAATATTAGACAATTTTTTACCCTTAAATGTGTATGTATATAGATCTAAACATTACATATGGGAGGCATGACAGATTTTTTTCATTGGCAAATAGGTGAACATTAAATGCAAACACTGTGAACAGTTTTATAAAATTATTGAAGACTTAACTGAACTTTCTAAAAAGCTAATAAAACATGCAGCTTATTTTAATGCCTTTGACTAGAAATTTGATAGTGATTAACTGTAATTTCATTTTGCTTTTTAGTTTTGATAGGTCATTTTGAATATTTTAGAAGAAAGATAGCATTTCTTAAAATGTGAAAAATAATTTTAATTTCTTTTTTTACATTTACAGTCAATTTTGGAAAAAAATGCATTCAAAATTTGTACACTTTACCTACAATTACATTTTGACTATGTACATGTATTACTTTGAATTAAAAAATAGAAAAGAAGAGGGGTGCCTGAGTGGCTCAGTCGGCTAAGCAGCCGACACGCTTGATTTCAGGTCAAGTCATGATCTCAGGGTCCTGAGATCAAGCACCATGTCAGGCTCCATGCTCAGCGGGGAGTCTGCCTAAGGATTACTCTCCTTCTCCCTCTTCCCCTTCTCCTCCCCCCACACCCTCTTCTCTTAAATAAATAAATCTTTAAAAAATAAACTTAAATTAAAAAGAAGAAAAAAGGAAGTCCATAAAAAATAAAAATAATTTGTCTGGCAAATGGTGAGTATTCAATAAATATTAGGGACCCCCTTCTGCCACCCCATCTTCCTTCCTCTTGCGCTGAACTTGACGTCAGATTAAAATTCATTTCCCTCTCTCCTTTCTCCCCCTCTATCCTCCAAATACAAACATACACATCCTGTTAGGAATTTGGTTGCCTTATGGAAACAAGTCTAGAATTTGGGAGAAAATAGCAGAATTGAGAGGAGACTTTAGAGGAATCTAGCTGTGGCCAAATAGAAAAATTAGATAAAAGTTCAATCATTTAAGATGACCAGTATTTTTTAGTAGAATTCTGACATAGAGCCTATGTCAGGCACTTCTTGGCCCAGTGAGAAGTCAGGGGCATCTCAGAAACATGGGAGTCACAACAGGGAATTTAACTGACTCTTACTAGCAGTTTCGATTTACGGGTTGGGCTGTCAGCCCTTGGAAAAGCAAAATGAAAGTTTCAGGAAGTTAGACTACTGGCCACTTCAGCACAGCAGAAACACACTTGGAATTTTTTTTTTTTTTTAAGATTTATTTATTTATTTATTTATTTATTTGAGGGAGAGTGGGGTGAATTGCAGAGGGAGAGACTCTCAAGCAGACTCCCCGCTGAGCGAGGAGCCCGACTAGACTCAGGGCTAGATCCTAGGACCCTGAGATCATGACCTGAGCTGAAATCAAGAGTCAGCTGCTTAACCAACTGAGCCACCCAAGCGCCCCCACACTGGAATGTTTCAATAGCTGGAATCCAGTTTTTGACAATTCATGGGAAATTAAAATTTGTTCTAGCACTTAACAATAATAAAATAAGAATAGCTAACAGTTTGGGGGTACTTACTATATCCTCGGCACTATGCTAAACACTTTTTGCAAAACATCCTATCTAATCCTTTCCAGGATGTTCAAGTTATCATCCTCACTGTAAGGATGAGGAACTTGAACCTCAAAGAAGCTAAATAATTGGCACCAGAATCTCTCCTGCTCTTAACCACGTTAACTTTCAGTCGGTAACAAGCGCAGCTACCATTTACTGAGAACTAAAGGACTAAACGTGTTATAACTAACTTAATCTTCATAACAACCCTAATGGAGAGCACTTAGGAGTCGGGCTTATAGATGAAGACCCTTCAGCTGCAGCATCTAAAAATTACATGTGATAGAGACAATAATCCTAACGGCCGCAGGGCTTACTCCCCCACCTCCTGATCTGAAAGCAGGAAGGAAAGTAGGCTTTCTTCTTTCAACCTGCTGAGAATCCTGTGTTCTGTGCAGAAGAGGTGTTTTTCATTCTAGAATAGCACTCACTATTCAATAGAACTTTCTGTGATAATGGAAATGTTCTACATTGGCACAGTCCAATATGGTAGCTACTGACCATGTGTGACCATTGACATGTGAAATGTAGCTGGTGGGATTGATGAACTTTTAATCTGATCAACTGATGAAATTTTAATTTTATTTAATTTTAACTAGTTTAATTTATTTCTTTTATTTTAAGTAGGCTCCACACCCAATGTAGGACTTGAACCCTTGGCCCCAAGATTAAGAGTCCCATGCTCTACCAACTGAGCCAGCCAGGTGCCCCTTAACTAGTTTAAATTTAAACAGCACACATGGCTAGTGGCTATCATATTGGACAACACAGGCATAGAGGGTAGGACTGCTTGGTGGCCAAGTTCCCAGCAGCAGAGTCTAAGAGCTTCTGAGATTACATTCTCCTTTTTCTTAGTCCTACTATTGGCCAGCTTCTGGGGAATGTATTTTCAGACTAAGGCACGGGTAAGAATTGAGAAAGAGGGAAAATAATGAGGATCTTTTTTACTCCCTTTATTAAAACTGAATATTTAAGTCCTCAAACATTTATTTTACTTGTTCATTTATTTAACAAATGTTTGTGGAACTCTCCTTACATGGCAGACATATCTACTCTAAGTCTATGCATTGGCTCTGAGGTTAAAATGGCAAGCGAGACAGAAATGGAGAGACAGACATTAATTAAATAATCACACAGAGATATCATTAGAAACTCAAATAAAGGAATCGTATAAGGAGTTGGGAAGGTGTATGACAAGGATGGAGTATTGATTTTTTTAAAAAAGATTTTATTTATTTATTTGTCAGAGAGAACGAGAGAGCACAAGCAGGGAGAGCAGCAGAGGGAGAGGGAGAAGCTCGATCCCAGGACCCTGGGATCATGACCTGAGCCAAAAGCAGACATTTAACCGACTGAGCCACCCAGTCACCCCAGATGGAGAATTGATTTGAGGCCTCCGGAAACCCTTTCTGATGATGCTGAAGTTCAGCTTGCAGAACTAACGTTTTAGCTGAGAAATGAAGAATAAACTAGAATTAGGGACAGTGGTGGGAAAAGCATTCCAGGTGGAGGGAATAGCATGAATAGGCCTGAGGTGGGCAGAGTGTGGACATGTTTGAGGAACTTCAAAGAAAAGGAAAATGGGGAGAGATGAGGCTGAAGAGCAGGCTCTAGAGAGCCTCGCCTGCCATATCAGGGCTTTTGACCTTTATCCTAGAAGCAGGGATAAGCTCCTGAAAGGTTTTAAGCCGAGGAGTGACATGATTAGAAAACAAACTTAAAAAACAAAACCAAACAACAACAACAAAAATCTTGGCTTTTAACAAGGGCTTCATTGTTCCCTGTTCCTTCCTTCCTTCCTCCTCCAGCAGCCAGGCAGGTGACTTCCCCAGACACAGGGCTGCAGCTGGCTCCAGAGGTCCTGGGCCCAGAGGATGAATGGAGCTAAGCTGTGTTCTTTCCTCTAATGCTCTGTGTGTTCTCTCTGTGTGTTTCTACCATTAAATAAATACTGGGGTATTTATAAAAACTTCAGCAAACCACCCACTCCATTTTCTCTGCTGCAGGCCCACAGGCCCTCAAACAGTAACAAGCTGTACCAGAATCTCCGTGATATCCAAAGAGACAGCTCCTAAAAGACTACTAAATATAACTCTCTTCCACACAGGCTGGTGCCTGCTGCCTCAACTTTTACAAGCATAGTTGTGGAATATCTAGGAAACTTGAAGTTGACAGACAGGTTTAAGCCGAACGAGGGCAGCCCACTAGAGAGCTTGGCTTTCGGTATTTTCTAGTCTGTTCTTTCTGTTGAGCCACACGGAGCTGATGGACCTTCAGTTGGGAGGATGACAAACCAAAGAACTGACTCCAGTGGGAAAAAGGCAAGTAAGAATGAGTCTGAGACAAAAGACTTGTGAATGTATTTGAACGTCAAAAGTTTCAAACCAAAATCCAGCTTCCTTAAGCAACATGAATCACTGATGGTCTGCTTCTTCCAAAGTGAATTGACTTTACCTCTGTCTCTGGCATGATAGAAAAGTCACCCATTTTGCTGGCCAACACACTTAAGCTTAATTGTCAACTCTGCCACTTACCCCAAGCAAGCGAACTCACCTTCCAGAGCTTCGTGTCTTTTTGCCTGTAAAATGGGTTAAATACTGTTTGCAGCATCGTATGGATGTAAGACAATGTGGATGAAATTATTAGAAATAGTCCCTGCACTGACATTGTTGTTATCCAGTACTGCACCTGTATGTCTATCTTCCTCATGACACTGACCTCCTCAAGAAAAGACACCTGCCTTTGGCCTTTCTGTCTGGTGCCTACTCCTGTAGGTGTTCAGTACATAAAATGAATAATTGATATAGCCATCTTATAGGAAAAGAATTCTCCTGTGAGATCAACCTTCCCAAGAGAGTCTATCTTCTAATTTCCTACAACCTTTTTATTTGCTTTAGACATAAATTAGGAAAACAAAATTATTGGATACATTTCCAGAAAGATATTTTCCTAGAATGTTTCTACTTATACACACATATTATTTAATTAGTAAACTTATTTTTGAGCATTTTTAGGATTACAGAAAAATTGAGCAGAAAGTACAGATTTCCCATACGCACCCTAACGCCCTTCGTCCCTCCATATTAACATCTTTTTTTTTTTAAGATTTTATTTATTTATTTATTTGAGACAGAGGGAATGAGAGACAGAGAGCATGAGAGGGAGGAGGGTCAGAGGGAGAAGCAGACCCCTGCCAAGCAGGGAGCCCGATGCGGGACTCGATCCCGGGACTCGATCCAGGGACTCTAGGATCATGACCTGAGCCGAAGGCAGTCGCTTAACCAACTGAGCCACCCAGGCGCCCTCCATATTAACATCTTGCATTAACGTGATGCATTTGTTAGAATTGGTAAGCCAATATTGATACATTATTATGAACTAAACCCATAGTTTACATTTAAATTAATTCTTTGTATTATACATTCTGTAAGTTTTGACAAATGTATAATAACTTGTATCCACCATTACATTATCATTCAGAATAGTTTTACTGCTCTAAAAATCCCCTGTGCTCCACCCATTCCTCCCTCTCCCCTCCCAACTCCTGGCAACCATTGATCCTTTTATTATCTCCATAGTTTTGCCTTTTCTAGAGTGTCATGTTGCTAGAGTCATAGGATATGTAGCCTTTTTAGATTGGCTTCTTTCCATTCGTGATATGCATTAAAGATTCATCCATATCTTTTCCTGGCCTGATAGCTCATTTCTTTTCATCACTGAATTCTATTCCATTGTATGGATGTACCACAGTTTATTCACCCACTGAAGGACATCTTGGTGGCTTCCAAGTTTTGTCAATTATGGATAAAGTTGCTGTAAACATTCACGTGCAGGTTTTGTGTGGATGTAAGTTTTCAACTCATTTGGGTAAATACCTAGGAGTGTAATTGCTCTATTGTAGAGTAAACATATGTTTAGTTTTTTTTGTTTTGTTTTAATTTTGCAAGAAGCTGCTAAACTGTCTTCCAAAGTGACTGTATCATTTTAATAGGTGTGTAGTGATAGTTCATTGTTTTCATTTGCGATTCTCTAATGACATACAATATTAAACATCATTTCCTATGCTTATTTGCCATCTGTATATTTTCTTTGGTGAAGTGTCTGTTCAGATCTTATGCCCATTTTTAAATCCAGTTGTTTGTTTTTTTATTGTGGGGTTTTAAGGGTTCTTTCCATCTTTTGAATATCAGTCATTTGTCAAATATGTGTTTTACAGCGCCTGGGTGGCTCAGTTGGTTAAGCGACTGCCTTCGGCTCAGGTCATGATCCTGGAGTCCCGGGATCGAGTCCCGCATCAGACTCCCTGCTCGGTGGGGAATCTGCTTCTCCCTCTGGCCCTAGCCCTTCTCGTGCACTCTCTCTCAAATAAATAAATAAAATCTTAAAAAAAAAAATGTGTTTTACAAATATTTTCTCCCAGGGCGCCTGGGTGGCTCAGTTGTTAAGCGTCTGCCTTCGGCTCAGGTCATGATCCCAGGGTCCTCGATCCCACATTGGGCTCCCTGCTCGGCAGGAAGCCTGCTTCTCGCTCTCCCACTCCCCCTGCTTGTGTTCCTGCTCTCACTATCTCTCTCTCTGTCAAATAAATAAATAAAATCTTTAAAAATAATAATAATAAAAAATTTAAAAATAAATAAATAAATAAATAATAAAAACAAACAAACAAACAAAAAAACCCAAATATTTTCTCCCAAATTGTGGTTTGCTTTTCCATTCTATTGATATATTTTGCAGAGCAGTTTTTAATTTCAATGAAGTTCAACTTATCAATTTTTCTCCCATGGATCGAGCTTTTCATATCTAAAAAGTCATTGCTAAACCCAAGTTTACTAGATTTTCTCCTATGTTAATTTTAGGAGTTTTATAGTTCTCTGTTTTAAAAGATTTTATTTATTTGAGCGAGTAGTTTTCTGTTTTAAATTTAGGTGTTTGAACCATTTTGAGTTAATTTTGTGAGAAGTGGTAGATCTGTGTCTAGATTCTTTTATTTTTATTTTTATTTTTTTGCATGAGGATGTCCAGTTGTTCCAGAACCATTTGTTCAAAAGAGTATCCTTTTTCCATTGAATTGTCTTTGCTCCATTTTTAAAGATCAGTTGATTATATCTGTGTAGGTTCATGTCTGGGTTCTCTGTTCTGTTCCATTGATCTTGTTGTCTGTTCTTTCACCAATACCACATTGTCTTGATTTCTGTAGCTTTAGATTAAGTCTTTTTTTTTAGATTTTATTTATTTATTTGACAGACACACAGTGAGAGAGGGAACACAAGCAGGGGGAGTAGGAGAGGGAGAAGCAGGGAGCCCGATGGGGGGCTCGATCCCCAGACCTGAGCCGAAGGCAGACGCTTAATGACTGAGACACCCAGGCGCCCCTAGAGTAAGTCCTGATATTGGATAGTGTCAGCCCTCCAACTTTGTCCTTCTCTTTCTTTTTTTTCTTTTTTTTTTTAAAAGATTTTATTTATTTATTTGACAGAGACAGAGACAGCGAGAGCAGGAACACAAGCAGGGGGAGAGGGAGAAGCAGACTCCCCGCCGAGCAGGGAGCCCGATGCGGGACTCGATCCCAGGACCCTGGGACCATGACCTGAGCCGAAGGCAGTCGCTTAACCAACTGAGCCACCCAGGCGTCCCTGTCCTTCTCTTTCAATATTGGGTTGGCTACTTATATATTTAAAAGTAGGTTTATTATTTTCAGAAAAATTATGCATGCTTATTAAGAAAAAAATAAACAAAAGTAATTACATATGTGAAAAGTTTACTATTATAGAAGATAGGTGTCTAATCAATGAGAAAAAGGTTAACAACACAATTGGGGGAAAGAGTATCTGAATCATCAGTTTCGGAGTAAAAGAAAGTTTAGTACCCTATAAATATTTGTAAAAATGTCAACCTTTCTCTTAATGTAAAATGAAAAGAAATATCAGTAAACTCCTATTTTTCTCTTTTATGCCCATTATTAATCAGGATAGAGGAAATAAAACTCTAAAAACTGGTGTAAATTGGTATAAAATGTATAGGTGGCTATTTGGCAAAATTTGGAATATGTGTTCCTTGTAGGAACTAAAAACAGTGTCTGACACATAGTGTATCTTCAATAAAGAGTTGTTAAATAAACTTGTTAAATGCAAATGTACTTAGTCATTGATAGAGGAATTTTACTGCAAGGAATTTATCAAATGGGTACATGTACAGGATTTTTTTGTTGGAACATTGTTTTTTGTTTTGTTTTGTTTTTTAAAGATTTTATTTGCTTATTTGAGAGAGAGAACACAGGAGTAGGGAGGAGGAGTGGGGGGGTGAGGAACAAGTAGACTCCCTGTTGAGCAGGGAGCCCGATGTGGGGCTCGATCCCAGGACCCTGGGATCATGACCTGAGCCGAAGGCAGACACTTAACGACTGAGCCACCCAGGCGCCCCCCTGATTTATTTTTTTTAAATAAAAATGTATGGAAGTTTTTATGTAAAACTATAAAAAGGGCATAGATTTATTTATTTGGAAATACCATAATTATTCAGGGGAAATGATACACTTTTTATTTAAAAAAATCTAAATAAAAAAGTAAAAATCTCTTACAATAATAAAACTATTAGTTTGGTAAATATTTTTCTAGCTATTTCTTTATGCAGCTGTACAATTTTACAAAAATGAGTTTATCCTATTTATGCTGTTCTGTAGTCTGCTTTTTATCAAATGATATTCAGTGGATTTTATTCTAAATAAATCCATTTGTTTTTATAGGCCTTACAGTATGCCAATGTATTTACAACTGGTTTAGTAAACTAATTACTTATTTTTAAGCACTATAAACAATGCTGCCTCGTTCATTTTTAAAATGATGAATAGGCACAGAGTAACATTTTGAATCTATGTATAAAATATAATAGCAATACTAAGAAGAATAATGTATTCATTACCTAGCCAGACTTTCTGTGGTTTGGATATCCAACAAGCACCAGCTTGTGCACCAGGCCTGCACATATGTGTTCATATTTATTGTAACTTTGATTATTATAGCAAAAAAAAAAATCCAGCATTATAGGTAATCTATGTTAAAATGTTTTATATTTTTTAGAGAATATAATACAGCAGTTAAAAAGAATAGGGTAAGTTGATAGGTACCGACTTGAAAATCCCCACCCCATACTAGTAAATGACAGAAAGCATTTATAGAATAATATTGTGGTTATGTTACCAAGTTATTTTTAAAAATACAGAAAAGTGTTTTAATGGAGTCTACAAGTGTATTCCCATCTAAAAATTCATCATACTGTACATTTAGAATTTGTGCCATTGACAGTATGCAAATTAAACCTAAATTTAAAAATTTAAAAATACCCATGTTGGGGGTAGAGTTTACTTAAAAAAATAGGTTGTGTCGGGTGGGGGGGATGGGTTAGCCTGGCGATGGGTATTAAAGAGGGCACGTATTGAACAGAGCACTGGGTGTTATACGCAGACAATGAATCATGGAACACTACGTCAAAAACTAATGATGTAATGTATGGTGACTAACATAGCATAATAATAATAAAATTTAAAAAATAGGTTGTGTCTATATTTTCATGTATAATGTAAATGCATAGAAAGCAGTCTGGAGCAATATACACCTGGTTTTTTGGCAGTGATTATTACCTCTAGAAAGGGAGACCTCTGCTCTTCCTCTACATACTTCTGTATTGTTCGAATATTTTAAAAAGGAAAAGGTGTTAATTGGGTATCTAATCAATCAGTAAATATAAGCACAACATGTTTTTATTGAAGTCAATAAAATAAATAACATAAATAAAATAATCAACTGAGGACAAAATTAACGGACCACAAAGAGACTTTGGAAGAAAACAAGCTGCTGAGAACTTATGTAGAGATACCCCCATACCCATCTTCTCCCTTGGGAAGGATTTGAGGACCATGTTTTCTCCATTTTTGCCTCTCTGGAAAGATACCATTAAGTCACCAGAAGGGGGTGGTTTCCTTCTATTCTAATCCCTGCGCAGCCCAATGGCCACATGTGGAGGTGAGATATGAACACCACAGCTGTCCTGCAAGATGCCCGACCCCACTCCAGGGAGTGAGAGCCTAAAGGAGACTCAGTACTTGCTTAAAAAACATGCCTCACTCCTTCCCACATTTGTGGAGGTAGGGGGATGAGGCAGTGGATGGAAATGAATATGCAGTGTGGGCAAATGCGGTATGAATTACAAAGTAATTGAATAATAAGAAATTCAAAGGAAAACAATCAAATGCCATGTCCTACCAAACTGGTGAGGATTTGTTTGATGGCTCTGCACAATGTTGGCACGGGGTGGGGGGACAATGATAAGTGAAGCTAGACGAGTTAGCAGAGGCAAATGAGGCAGAGCTTTGTCAAACACATTAAGGAGCTTATCCCAGGAACCAGGAGCTTATCCCAAGCCAGTAACAAGCCTTAGGCAGTTGGATCACCTCTGGCTACTCCCAGAACAATGCATTGAGAAGCAACAGACCGGACATGGGGAGAGCAGCTAGGAGGCCGGTGCAGTAATCCAGGCAAAATATCGCCGTGCCCTGGAACAGTGTGAAAGCAGTGGAAAAGGAGACAAGTGCGTGAGTAGAGGGAAACTGAAGAAAGAGTTCTGACAGGTCTTGGTGATTGATTGTGTACATGCAGAAAAGGAGAGCAGGGTGGTGGTGGTTGTGTGGTGTCTGTGTCATCTAGGGTTCAGTCAGTAAAAGCTGAACCCTAGGACTCATGGAATAAGGAATTTGTTGTTGAAATTAGACCTTGCACAGTTTGTGGAAGCAATTGAACATCTGGGAAGGGGAGTTAAATCCCCAACCAGCCAGTCTGAGAAGCCAAGGATGTCCAGCCACTGAAGTTGGACCTCAGAGGGGAGACTGATGGAGAAGTCTAAAAGAAGCATTTGCCTTTGTGGGTCTAAGGGCAGGCATCTGCTGATGGATCTGGAGCTGCTGTTGGTCAACAGGGCCTTCAGGCCAGAGGAAGAGCTGGAGGCAAAATAGAGGGAACAAGGACAAGCTGGAACCTGCCAGGCACCTCTGCATCTACAGGTCATATCACTGAACCATGATGGCATTCAGATAGGGTGCCTCCAAATTCCTTTCTTGGCCAACTCTAACCTGGAACCACACAGGGAAAAGGATTCTGCGAAACAGTTTCCAGCTTAACTAAGGTAATGGTGAGAGATTCTGGAGGAAATGTAGTGAGTTCATTTTGGACACGTCAGCTTTGAGTTGACTGTAGTACATCCGCATGGAAATGTCCAGGAAGCAGTTGTCTTGTCTAAATTTCTTCAATATGCAAACAAATGGCTCTAGAACTCTAGTTTTAACCCATCCTGTGGTGTGAGGGTGGAATGCAGCTCTGGATTATGAGTCTAGGAACTAAAGGTATTGGCCAGGAGTGAAGACAGTCTCAAGAAACAAGAAGACCAGGGCGCCTGGGTGGCTCAGATGGTTAAGCGTCTGCCTTCGGCTCAGGTCATGATCCCAGGGTCCTGGGATCGAGTCCCACATCGGGCTCTCTGCTCCTTGGGAGCCTGCTTCTCCCTCTGCCTCTCTCTCTCTCTCTCTCTGTCTCTCATGAATAAATAAATAAAATCTTAAAAAAAAAAAAAAAGAAACAAAAAGACGGTTCAAACAAGGTCTGTAACTCTGGCAGTGACTTGGGGCAGCGAGATGGAGTGGGCAGACCCTACAGGGCAGGTAAGAGGAGGTGTCCTGGAGAGATGGCCTGAGATACCTTACCTCTGAATGAGAAGAGAACTGGTCTGTGCATTAAGGGTGGTCTTCTGGAATCAGTATGTTGAAAGTCCATGACTTACAAGAAAAAAACCTACTTGATAGTCCCTCCTATTTTTTTAATCCTATTACGCAGGCTCAAGACAGTATATTTAATGAATGATTCTTCTTTCCAAAATTTCAAGCACAAGTCTGTTACTTAATACAGTTGTGCCCTTCCTGCTTCATAGTCCTTCAGAATCATAAAGAGAGTTCTGAGCAAGGTTCCAGGTGATGTAGTGAACATTCCACACAGAGAGGTCTCCCATCACATCACTGGGAGACCCCCCGCCGCTGCGGCCACCACGATAACCATCAGCATCACTATCCAAGTTGGAGGAATGGAGGCTGGGGAAGGGCGGTAAGAGGAGGTAAAGGGAGGTAACAATTCCAAATGAGCAAGGAAATTGATAGTGCTTTCAGATAAATTGTCTGCATTCCTATTGGAGGACAAATGTAGTCAATGGACATTTTTTAAAAATTCCAGTGTAATTAACGTACAGCGTTAGATTCGTCTCAGGTGTACAATATAGTGATTCAACAATTTTTTTGGTAAAGATTTATTTATTTGAGAGACAGAGAGAGAAGGTGAGCGGATGGAGGGACAGAGGAAGAGGGAGAGAGAATCTCCAGCAGACTCCACAATGAGCACGGAGCCTGACATAGGGCTTGACCCCACGACCCTGAGATCATGACCTGAGCTGAAATCAAGAGTCGGACGCTTAACCGACTGCGCCACCCAGGCGCCCCAGTGATTCAACAATTCTATTCATTACTCAGAGCTCATCATGATAAATGTGCTCTTAATCCTCCCCCCTTTTTTTTGTTTGTATCCAAGCTTTATGAGAAAGCAAACACAATTGTGAGAAACCGGAACACTCAGGGGTGGCTCAGGCTGAATACACTTGATAAGCCTCACTAGGAGAGGGCTGAAAACTATTTGGTAGATTCCCTAAATCACTAAATCAGATTTCTATGTAAATGATCCAGGCCACAGACAGACAAGTAGGATCCCATAGTGAGTCTGGGAGATGGGACCCTGTGAAAGGTCCTACCTATTTCCCCCATCCTCCCATCAACTGCCCCTCTGGTAACTGTCAATTTATTCTCTATAGTGAAGAGTCTATATTTTGGTTTATCTCTCTCTCTTTTTTTTTTCCTTTGTTCATTTGTTTTGTTTCTTAAATTCCACATGAGTAAAATCATATGGTATTTGTCTTTCTCTGACTTCACTTAGCATTACACTCTCTAGATCCATCTATGTTGATACAAATGGCAAGATTTCATTCTTTTTTGTGGCTGAGTAACATCCCACTATATATATATAGATATATATGTATATGTATATCTATATCTATATATCTCATTTTTTTTTTTTTAAGATTTATTTATTTGACAGAGAGAGACCCAGCGAGAGAGGGAACACAAGCAGGGGGAGTGGGAGAGGGAGAAGCAGGTTTCCTGATGAGCAGGGAGCCCGATGCGGGGCTCGATCCCAGGACCCTGGGATCATGACCTGAGCCGAAGGCAGACGCTTAACGACTGAGCCACCCAGGTGCCCCTATATCTCACTTCTTCTTTATTCACTCCTCTATCAGTGGACATTTGGGCTGCTTTCATAATTTGGCTACTATAAATGATGCTGCAGGGGCACCTGGGTGGCTCAGTTATTAAGCATCTGCTTTCAGCTCAGGTCATGATCCTGGAGTCCTGAGATCGAAACCCACATCGGGCTCCCTGCTCCACGGGAAGCCTGCTTCTCCCTCTCCCATTCCCCCTGCTTGTGTTCCCTCTCTCGCTGGGTCTCTCTCTGTCAAATAAATAAATAAAATCTTTAGGGAAAAAAAATAAATGATGCTGCAATAAACATAGGTGTGCATGGATCCCTTTGAATTACTTTTTTAAAAAAAATATTGGGGATAAATACCGGTAGTTTGATTACTGGGTCATAGAATAGTTCTATTTTTAATTTTTGAGGAACCTCCATACTGTTTTCCACAGCGGCTGCACCAGTTTGCGTTCCCACCACAGTGCATGAGGGTTCCTGTTTCTCCACATCCTCGCCAACACCTGTCGTTTCTTTTGTTTTTGATTTTAGCCATTCTGACAGGTGTGAGGTGATATCTATCTCATTGTGGTTTTGATTTGCATTTCTCTGATGATGAGCATCTTTTCATGTGTCTGTTGCCATCTGTAAGTCAGTGAACAATTTTATCTACAGTGTTCTTTTTCCTCCACTTTCTTAGTTATCAAATGAAATCTTGGCTTCTTGTTAGACTATGTACACGGGGAAATGATATATTCTTCTGACTACCTTATACAAAGGAGGGCTTCCATCCCTCTCTATACTCTTATTCTGCTATATTTTTCATGTTAGTACTTACCCGCATCTGGTATTACATGTTTACATGTTTCCTTTATGTATTGCCTTCATATCAGAATATAAGCTTCTTCACAGACCATGCCTGTTTTGTTTACTGCTGTATCCCCAGCAAATGAAACAGTACCTAGGATACTGCAGACACTGAAGCATTTGTTGAATGAATGAATGACACATTACATTCTAAGAATAGCTCCATGTGAGAGAGAACTGTTTTATGGCTATTTCCCATATACAGAAAAATAAACTTTGGGCATAAAGGATTGGCCCTAAGTCAAATCACAGTAGTAGGGTGCCTTATGTACTGTCCCAACAGTTCATCAAGCCTCAGGAAAACTGCATCCTTTACATGAACATTACCAAATAATAGCAAATAAAAATATTTGTTATACATTTTGGCCAGAAGAGTTTAATAGCTTTGCCAGTTCTCATTTCTCCCCCTACTTCTCTGCTTGTCTGTCCATTTCCTTCAGTGGGTCCTCTTCCTCCTTCCTCCTGCTAACTGGTCATTCCCTCAGATTTACCTTGGACCCACTTGTTGATATCTCTCAACTGTGAGTTTTTCTAGGTCGGCTTCTCAGGTGTCATGATGCCACTCCTAGCTAGATAAGGGGTTAGGTCCCTGGGCGGGCGCTGTCCTGGACTTCATCTGACCTGTTTAATTCTTTGTGTGAGCACCTGAATGGCTCTGCAAACTCCTCCCCTCGAAGCTTCAAGCCTTATCTATCTGTACATCGTCAGCATATGTGTGCATAGAAGTTGGCCTGTTGTAGGTATTGAAGAAGTGAATGGGTGCTGATCACATTTGTTGATGAGACTGAAGTGTTTATCAGTGAAATTGATATAATTTTGGCATTTGCTTTTAAATATTCCAATAAAAATAATAGAATGAAATAAAAAAACAAAATGGCCGAAGACAAAGATGAAACAAGAATGGACAAATGTTGATAATGGTTGAAGCTGATGATGGGCATATGGGGGCTCTTTATACTCCTCTATTTTTGTGTACTTTTACATTTTTCTGTTAAAAAAAAACACACACAAAAATTTGTGGCTGAGGCAAAGCTGGGAAGGCCCTACTAATATGCTAATAGCTTCAGAAGCATTTATGAGGTGGAAATTTATAAATAAAATTTTACAATAGGAATGAGTAGCTATATTCAATACAGTTGTGCCCTTCAGGGAATTAAATACAAATAAGGAAAGCAGCAAAACATTTTAAACTTTTCAGAGCTTTGCTTGTTTAATTTCTAATCATATTGCCATATACAAACCATATATGAAGGTTGCTAAAGCCCTTTGCCAATTACATGGTACTCCATCTTATTTATCATTTATCATGGAAAGTTATCCTCCCTTGAAATAAGACTTTTGCATACCATATAGAATGAAAATTCTACTGGGAAGAATCTTAAAGATTTTTGCCTATTTTCTATAGCCATAAAGTATTACTTTACTTATGTATTCATTTTTTTAAAAGATTTTTTATTTTATTATTTATCTGACAGAGAGAGACACAGCAAGAGAGGGAACACAAGCAGGGGGAGTGGGAGAGGGAGACGCAGGCTCCCCGCCGAGCAGAGAGCCCGATGTGGGACTCGATCCCAGGACCTTGGGATCATGACCTGAACCGAAGGCAGATGTTTAACGAATGAGCCACCCAGGCGCCCCTATGCATTCATTTTTAATTTACATATGTTTCTCAAAATTGTGTTCCATTTTTTCAAGTCTTTATTTATTTAAGTAATCGCTACACCCAACGTGGGGCTTGAACTCACGACTCCAAGACCAAGAGTCCCATGCTCCTTTGACTGAGCCAGCCAGTTGCCCCTAAACTGTGTTTTATTTTATATGTCCAGTTTATTATTATTTGTTAAACTGAGTAACAATTGTAGTGAAGCAATGATATATACAATTTACAACATATTAATAAATACATATAACACAATTCTGAAACACTCAGATTCAGGTACTGCTATTAAAAAAATCCTCACCCAGGGCACCTGGCTGGCTCAGTCAGTAGAGCATGCAACTCTTGATCTCAGGATTCTAAGTTCAACTCCCATATTGGGTATAAAGATTACTTAAAAAAAAAATCCTTTCCCATTGATTTACTGATTTTTTTTCTTAAATTAGTTTTATATAGAATACATTTTCCCCTAAACATTACAATTTCATGTCTTCATGTGATATGTTTTCATTTGGTACAGTTCTAAGTGTCCTTTTGCTTAGGGTAGAAGGAGCCGGCACTTTTTGAATGTCCCCTGTTGCCAATTGCTTCACCATTTATCTCATTTGATGCTATAAATAATCCTGTTCATTTACAGATAAGAAAGCAGATGTTCAGAGAAGCTTAATAACTTGGCTAAGGCCATATAATTTGTAAGTGGAGACAGATTTTTTTTTGAAGACAGTTTTTTTTTTAAAAATCCAAACTCTACATTGTTCATAGTATATTGTTTTGTCCCTCCATATTCAAACTTTCAATATGAGGCCATGACTTAGTATTGAGTAATAATGGCAGATTCTAGGATGGTATGTAAAATGTGACTTATTTACATTTCAGAAAAGATGACATATATATTTTATATGTAAATATATTTATGTAAGTAATGTTAATACTATTAATATATTATTATATATTTAATTGTTATATGTAACATAATAATAGATTACATTAATGATATAATTATAATATAATATTAATATATAATGTATATGATAATTATAATGTATTTATATATAATAACAAATACAATATATTATTAATATATTACAAAATATATATACACGTTCAGAAAGATAGATAACAGGCCATTAACCAAGACTGGGATTTGGGAGGTGGAGGTGAGACTGGGGAAACAAGGAGAACACTCTTTCATTTCTAGTTTGTGTCTTTCTGTCTTGAACTTAAAAATGATTATGCATTAGTTTTATGCTCAGAGACATTATTATTATTTTGTCATTAGTACTAAATGGACTCATTTCTTTCTTTTTTTTTTTTTAGATTTTATTTATTTATTTGGCAGAGAGAGACACAGCAAGAGAGGGAACACAAGCACGGGGAGTGGGGGAGAGGGAGAAGCAGGCTTCCCCTTGAGGAGGGAGCCCGATGCGGGGCTCTATCCCAGGACCGTGGGATCATGACCTGAGCCGAAGGCAGACGCTTAACGACTGAGCCACCCAGGCGCCCTGGACTCATTTCTTATTTTAACAACTATCAGCATTCTTGAATACCTTTGTTATGCTTGGAATGTTTTAAGTCCCTATGGGCCTCAGACATTCTTATTGTTGTAGGCCAATCTAACACATTAAATGTATTCAGATCAAATACAACTTCCATGAGTTGAGTTAAAGTTAAATATAACTTATATGGGGCGCCTGGGTAGCTCAGTTGGTTGGGCGACTGCCTTCGGCTCAGGTCATGATCCTGGAGTCACAGGATCGAGTCCCGCATCGGGCTCCCTGCTCGGCGGGGAGTCTGCTTCTCCCTCTGACCCTCCCCCCTCTCATGTGCTCGCTCTCTCTCATTCTCTCTCTCTCAAATAAATAAATAAAATCTTTAAAATATATATATATATATATAACTTATATGACGTTGAGTTGAGGTTAACAACATATCACATGTCATAAGCATTTAAAGCTACTAACTTTGATTTTTTAGGTTTTAAAATATTTTTTTAAAGATTTTATTTATTTTAGAGGGAGAGAGCACACGAGCAGGGGAAGGGGCAGAGAGGGAGCGAGAGGGAGAGAATCTCAAGCAGACACAGTGCTGAGTGCAGAGCCTCATGCAGGGCTCAATCCCACCATCCTAAGATTATGACCAAAGTCAGAACCAAGAATTAGATGTTTAACTGACTTAGCCACCCAGGTGCCCCTCCTATTCATATTCCTGTGAACCCTTTAAGTAGAAAAAACAAAAGTATTTTCAACAACATAAAATGGAGTACAAAAATAATTATGCTCAAATTTAAATCAAATACCTAGGTCTCAAGCATGTACCTTCACATGCCTGGGTTATAATCTTGTGCCGATTTCTCTGAGTATTTGCTCTTAGATCTCTAGTTGACTTTGTAGAGACTTTGCCTAATTTTATTCAGGCATCCACAGTTCAGTCACCAATTTTTTGAGTACTTCTACTGTGTATTTTTTTGGGAATGATAGAAAGATGCATCAAAATATTCAATGGTAGGCTCACATAGAATCATGAGGAACTAAAGCAAATTGCAAAGGCAAGGGTCTGCTTGAAACGACTTTCAGTGTATTGGGGCACATGGGTGGCTCAGTGGGTTAAGCGCCTGACTCTCTACTTCGGCTCACGGCTCAGGTCATGATCTCATGGGTTGAGAGATCAAGCCCGGAGTTGGGCTCTGTGCTCAGTGGGGAGTCTGCTTGAAGATCCTCTCCCTCTGCCCCTGCCAGGTGCTCACTCTCTCATTTTCTATGAATAAATAATAAATAAATCTTAAAAAAAAAAAAGACTTTCAGTGTGTCATTCCTGCCTGGCATGTCAATATCTTTTGTCCTGTTTGCAGAGTGTTTTGGAAATCAAGGGAATGGAATGTGAGAAAATCAACATTTGATTCAGAGAAAGAAATCCCACTTTCATTGAGAAGAAGGTATTTTAGAAGGAGGGAAAAGAACAGACCATCAAGAGACTCTGAAGACTATGAAGAGCAGCATGATCAAATGATCACATTTCCCTGTTCCATATGCAAGCATGAAATTGATCTACCTGAAATTTTCCTCCATAAAAAGCTGCACATGGCTCTGGCCACCCTGGGGTTTCAATGGATGGGTGGAAAGAAACCCGCGCTCCCACTGATTTCCATTCAGAGACAGTTTATAATCACTAAACTATTGTCATTTTCTATATTCACTGAAAAAATCCTACAGAGCATTAATAATGCTTTTGAGCTACTTTGGAAGAAACAAATCCCAGCATACTATAAGATTATTGATAACGTTCACAGGAGTTCCATATATTCTCAAACAATCTGTCATGTATTGATTAAAGGTGTAGCCGTTTGTGAGGATAGAAATTCTACATGGAAAGCTGACATGAATGATAAATTCACTGTGGTGAATAACTTTGGCAATAAACCCGATGTGTGTTTTTTGGGTTTGTTCGATGGACATCATGGTGCCTCAGCAGCAGACTTGACATCAATGGAACTTCCAATTTTACTTCTCCATCAACTTTCCAGATTTGATCCTTCCTACCAAATGACTCCTGAAGAGCAAAACATAATCAAATCCTTTCACACAGTATTTAGGGAGGAATACATAGCTATAGAAGAACTTTTTTCCTCCATAAAGAAAAAGAGAAAAACGGTGAAATGTGAGTATGAGAACATACACAAAGCCTTTGCAAAAGCATTTTGGAGAATGGATAGACTTTTACGTCTCGGAAGGAATGAAGTATCCAGGGTTCGATGGAGTGGCTGTTCTGCAGTTACTTGTATATTGGAAGGCAATATTAAAAAACCCTATGCTAAGAAGAATTGGAAAATCAATAAGGGTGATGACTTGGCAAAGAGTTTCCCTTCCCAGATGATGCCACAAATAATGTCTGGAGTACTCCATATTGCAAACACTGGTATGTACATGGAGTGGTGCACCACTTAATATATACACCTTACATTTATTTTTTATTCCTGGCAGCAAAACTTCTCTTGCTTCCAGAGCTATTTAGTGACCTATGATTTAGTGACTTATTAATGCCTTGAAATTCCATTGACTAATTTAAGAAATGATCAACAATCACAGCTTAGATGCAGATTGCAGGCACAAAAATAATTGTAATTTTTTTTCCCAAGAAGGAACATATATGTAATAATTTGACAGAAACATTAAATTTTCTAAATGGGGTAGCAATACAGCTGTAGATAAAGGCATAGCAAACATATTACATTTGCTTAGATCTGAATGAAACAAAAAACATTTCCCCTACTTCCCTTTTCCAGGAGAATGGAAAGTTCTTTGAGGATTGTTACAAGTCTGGTTGTTTAAACTGGTCAGTTATTCTGATAACACATTTGCAATAGGTCACTTGTGCTCACTGGCCAAGTAGCAACAATTTAATTTTAGAGAAAACAATAGTTTGTGCCTCAAGTTTATAAGCATATATTCTCTTCTCCAAACATTTGGCTGTATTTTTTTTTATAAAGATTTTATTTATTTATTTGACAGAGAGAGACAAAGTGAGAGAGGGAACACAAGCAGGGGGAGTGGGAGAGGGAGAAGCAGGCTCCCCGTGGAGCAGGGAGCCCGATGCGGGGCTCGATCCCAGGACCCCGGGATCATGACCTGAGCCGAAGGCAGTTGCTTAACCGACTGAGCCACCCAGGCACCCTTGGCTGTATTTTTAAAATTGTATTTCAAGAAGCAATCCTTTCAGTGCTAAAGGTCTACCTTAGGAGCTTGCTAAAAAGGAAAGCCTGTACATAAAACATTTTTAGCAAAGTTAAGCTGAGTTCCATGACATGCTTCATTAGGTTTCCACTACCCCTTTCATCAATAGAATTATTATTATTTTTAAATAAACCCTACCCCCAGTGTGGGGCTCAAACTCATGACCCTGAGATCAAGAATCTCATGGTTTACCGACTGAGCCAATAAGGTGCCCCTGTATAGAGTTGTTACTATTATTACTTTTTAAGATTTTATTTATTTATTTGAGTGAGAGAGCAAGAGAGAGCATGCGCAGGGTGAAGGACAGAGGGAGAAGCAGACTCCCTGCTGAGCAAGGAGCCCGACATGGAACTGGATCCCAGGACCCTGGGATCATGACCTGAGCCGAAGGCAGACACTTAACTGATTGAGCCACCCAGGCATCCCTAGAGTTATTATGAATAATAGTGTCTATTTATTGAATATTGAATATAGCCTAATTTTTCATTTAGTCTTATGAGAACCCTGATATCTAAAGATATCCTCTAAGTATTGTTTTTTTTTTTTAAAAGATTTTATTTATTTATTTGACAGAGAGAGACACAGCAAGAGAGGGAACACAAGCAGGGGGAGTGGGAGAGTGAGAAGCAGGCTTCCCGCAGAGCAGGGAGCCCGACGCGGGGCTTGATCCCAGGACCTTGGGATCATGACCTGAGCCGAAGGCAGATGCTTAACGACTGAGCCACCCAGGCGCCCCTAAGTATTGTTTCTTTAAAATGTATTTGGCATGTAACATTGTGCAAGTTTAAAGTATGTTAATATGATACATTCATATATAGTAATATGATTGCTGTTTGGGTGATAATTAGCATTTCTATCATGTTACATAATTATCATTTTTTTTGGTGGTTGAAACAAATTCTAGTCTCAACAAGTTTGATGACTATAATACAGTATTGTTCTCTATATTCCCTATACTGTGCATTAGATCTCTAGGACTTATTTTCTACTTGCTGCAAGTTTGGACCCTTAAACACCTGTTCTATCTCCCACCACCCCCCTCGTATCTAAGTGTTGTTACCCCATTTTTCCAGATAAGAAAAGGGAAGCTCAGGTGAGATAATTTGTTCAAGGTCTCGGAGGTAATAGGAATTGGAGCTGGGAATCAAGCCCACAATGTCATGCTGCATCTGAAGGGAATTGCTTCCACAACCTGAGGAGGCTGGCCCTCAGAGAGTGGGACAATGTGTCTGAGATGGCTCCGAACAAAAACCAGATAATCAAAGACTGCAATGTCAAGGCCCCTGGGTGTCAGCCTGTTTCTGATCTAGCTCTAGTTCTTTTTTTTTTTTTTTTTTAAGATTTTATTTATGTATTTGACAGAGAGAGACACAGTCAGAGAGGGAACACACGCAGGGGGAGTGGGAGAGGGAGAAGCAGATTCCCCGCTGAGCAGGGAGCCAGATGCGGGACTCAATTCCCAGGACCCTGGGATCATGACCTGAGCTGAAGGCAGATGCTTAACGACTGAGCCACCCAGGCGCCCCTCTAGCTCTGGTTCTGAGCCCAAGATGAGTACTCCAGATTAAGCAATATAAAGAAGCCAAGTCCAATGCCAGTTTCCTCAGAATTTTTGTCACTTCTCAGGCTTTATGCTGAGGTTCCAGATGGCTTCAGAGCAGGTGTATATTATGCATAGTTTTTCATTTATTTATTTGACAGAGACAGACAGAGCACAAGGTCGAGGAGCAACAGAGGGAGAGAGGGAAGCAGACTCCCCGCTGAGCAGGGAGCCTGATGTGGGGCTCAATCCCAGGACCCTGGGATCATGACCTGAGCCGAAGGCAGATGCTTAACGACTAGCCACCCAGGCGCCCCTAAATTACCTTCTTAAATCTTCACAATAACCTTGACAAAAAATAACATTGCAGGTGGAAAACTAACTCAGGGAAATAAAGTGACTAAATGAAGGTCACATAAAGTTGGAATTAAAGCTCAACCAAGTGTGTCAGACTCCCAAGTGTTTCCACTTCCCCATGCTGTTTCTTCCAAACCAAGCTAACTTTTTATTTCTGGTCACTCCTCATCCTAGATGTTACTTTTTCTTCCATCACATATAATTTTTCTTCCTTTTTCCTCCAGTTTTTAAAAAATTTTCCTGTTACCTTCAATAGTGAGTGGTTTTATCTGAAAAAAAATCTTGATCTTGCCCATTCAGATCTAGAATTCCCTTGTGATTCTAAGGTCACTCCAAAGTTTACAGGAGTACTCTTCATTTTCACAAGTTGAAGATAACCCAGCAATTAATTGCAGGAGGCAGTTGCATCATTGCCCTCTGTATAAGGAACACTTTGCCTGACTATACATGCCGTCTTGAAAAAGCTTGAGTATCATCTCAAAGCAGTTTTTCTAATCCCCATATACTTAATGTCCCTCTTGCAGTAACCCTGTTCCACTTTTGTTCTGATAACATTTTCTGAAGAACACAATCTCTCCAAACTGCTGAAGCTGGTAACTTTGTCTAGGAATTTGAAATATTTATGCCCAGATTCACAGAAACTTTTGGATAAGGGTCTTCACATCAGCTCACTACCTATTCTCCTTCCCTCTACAGAGATGTTACAGGAACCTTTCTTTAAAGCCAATCTTTAAATTGTCATGACCTGTTCCTCTCCCCTTTCAGTTCCCGAGACACTTGGACATAACAGTGTTATTTAAATCTTCCTCCAATTTCCCATCTTCCTTGGGACTTTTTGTTCATTATTCTATCCTAGCTTTCAGCTTAATGTAGTCAACTGCTTTCAACAACCCATTTATCCTCTACTTCCTAGGCTATGCATGAATAGTTGAGATACAGGAGGTACCTCTCCTTCACTTTTTTCTTCATGAACCATTCACATAGGAAAGGATATGGATTATTCAGAAGGTACTGTTTCCCTTTACATTAGGATAAACTAACTCAACTAAAAGTCAGACAGCAAGTAAATGGTAGAGTGAAAAGTGCAATGAGGATTTAATGTCCCTTCTTCTAGAAAGTTCTATTGTGCTGAGCCCAAGGGATGTTCACAATAGTAAAATAAGCCAAAATGGCATTTCCTACTGTCTAGTAGAGCAATTGTGGAGGGGGGGGGGGCGGGGAAGGCAAATAGTGCATAAGGCTATGCTTGGCAATTTCTGCAGAGGCAACTAAAATAAAAATACCAGTTTACCACCTTTCTATTTTAACAACATAATTGTACCGAATTATTTTCAAATCACACAACAGAGGAACAATACTTTTTGTTGAGTGGGCTTTGAAATGCCACATGCAAATAAAACATTTAGGAAGTCAGTGGATTTGACTATTCTGAGCTAAATAATGTCCCTTGTGTTTTCAGAGCTATGGTTGCACTATTTCTGTGTATGTACACACATAATAGAAATTTTCTAATTTAAAAGAGGTATTGAATCATATGTCCTCCTAAAAGAACATTCGATTTACCCAGGTGACATGTTCATTACCAATCCATGCTGCTTTGCTGGTACAGTAATAATTTACAACTCAGCAAAAGTCAAGAATTATTTTACCGATTTGCCTTCTGCAGAGTTTAAGTAAAATGATCAGAAGAAAAGACAAGTTAATACAGAATATTAATAACCAAACCACAGAGAAGTAAGAGGTCACGTAGTTTTTAGGACTATCACACAGTTCTCTGGTTTTAAAAACATTTTCCACATACATCTTTATAATTCTCATTATGTAAATGAGCCAATAGGCTCAGCCTATGCCTGACACTGATGTTTCACCAACTTAAGCTCTTTGGGTCCAACCATACTAGTTGTGTAAACTTTAGCCTTCTGAAATCTCAATTTCTTTACCTCAAACACAGAATTAGAATTGAACCCCTGTAGCAACAAAATTCGGATTCCAGGCATAGCACAATGCTGGAAACCAGATATTCTAATGTAAATTTTGCATGATCCCAGGAATTTTAATTCTCAAAGGTATTCGCTATTCAAACATCATTAACCCCATCTCAGAATAATTTATATACCGTTATAAATGATGACTCCATATCAAGAAGAACTTGCTTATGCTTGAATATACAATTATGTTCTCAAAAACCTGGGGAAAATTGTTTTCTTAATAAACTAAAACTGTGAATCTTTTTTTAATAAACCAAAGAAAAGTTGTGGTAGTACAACCATCCCTCAATCTGTTCAGATTATTGTGTTTAGATTTTCTTAAGATTTCAATGAAGCACACATCACAGGTTCATCCGAACCATGAATAAACTACAATCAACTTTTAAGACTTCAGTTTTCAAAGGATTTAATTTAATGTTGTCTAGCTATTATCCATGTAATACATTAATAATACATGTTTTTTCTTTACAGGGCTAATTGACTTAATTTCTTTTTAATCACACAATATGAAACTAGTAAGACTGACATTAACAGTGGCATTCTAATTTTCTTCATCGCCCACACCTATATAGATGTGTTCAAGGTTTTAAGTTTTACCAGATACAAAACTATCAACTCCACTTTTTAAAAACATCAATGCTTGTATTTTTAATTAAAAAGGCATTTATTTAAACATTTTAAAAATGTCTGCTCTATGGAATATATGTTGGTCATAAAAAAGTTCAACTCTTGGCTCTATAAAATAAATATTTGGAAGCTGATTCATAAAAAAATTGATGGTTATTTTGTATCTGTAGTTTTAGTTATTTTAATATTAAGTGCAGTATTTTAAACACTAAGTTACTTAAAAATGAGGGATAAACTGGCCTCCCAGTTTCAAATCTTAATTACCATAAGTCGCCCAGTAATATCAGTATTTCACAAATGTAAAAAATATTTTAAAATGGCCTATTTATGCACTGAAACACAGAATTAACAGCATACTTTATAATACAATTGGTGGTTAAATATCTAAGATCAATTTTTTCTAATAATCTTCTAGGTAATGTACAAGCAGTCTTATGCAGAAATGGAAAAGGCTTTTCCATAACCAAAGAACACACTACGCGAAACATAAACGAAAGACGACGACTACTTCAGAATGGAGCAGTAATTAGTTCAAATGAACCATATGGGCTCCTAGAAGGGCAAATAAAAACCACACGAGGACTTGGATTTCATGGAAATCTCAAACTGAAAAAATCTATTATCCCAGCACCTCAAACTATCTCTGTCCCTATAGATGACTTATGCCAATTCCTTATCTTAGCTACCAATGGACTCTGGGAAGTTTTGGATACAAAGGAAGTCACTGCACTGGCAATGACAATGTTTCAAGTGTATAAAGAAACCTATTATTCTAACACACAAAATGAATCTTTACCATCCAAAGAGCCTTTCCTAATCTATGAACCAAGCAATTCTATATCAGAAAGTAATATCCGTATATTGTTTCAGTATAAACCTGAATCTACAGAATGTGTGTCAACTATAAATTCAAAAGAAAACTTGTTTGATTCAACATGTTCTAACCCTAAAAATTCACGAACACTTCCACCAGAAATGACTAATCATGATCTTTACAGTGAGAAAGAAACTAATGGACCAACCAGTGTAGATGATGTGTCCAAAAATGCAAGGGAGAAAGAATCACGCACTAAAAATTTCTATGAAGGTGTAGCCAAGTATATTAGCCGTGAACTTGTAAGTGCTGCTTTAGTGGCTGGCTCCAGAGACAACATTACAGTCATGGTAATACTTCTCAAGGGAAGTGAGTATCAAGTTTCTGACTAAGATAAAGTTTCAATTATCCAGAGTACAAAAATGTAAAGACAATTCTTCAAAGAACCAGATATTAGGATAATACATCAATACCATGCAAATAATTTTTAAGAATGTATTAAAGAAACTATAAAAGCATATTTTAGGTTACATAATACCATTTATATATGTTCACTGTTCCATGCCAAAAAAGAGAAAAACCAGTACTTGCTTTTTATACCACTTTATTCCAACCTGAGCACCTCAATATAAAACTAAACACTGGTGAACTGTTTTCCTTACTAATTCTGAATTACTGTAAATGTACAAGTTCTGCTAGCAGTTCAACACTTAAATAGATTAAATCATCTGACACATGGTAGATTTCATATAATGAAAATACCTAAAACAATTAGTGCAATATACTGAACTGATCAAAATAAAATGAACTTTGGAAAACAAGGCTGCAAGATTGTTACTAACATACTGCAATACTTATGTTACAAATTACTGATACATTGTTTATTATGGTTCTAGCCATGTAGGAACAACTGAAGCCCCTTCCTTTCAAAGGGAGAGAAAAGGAAAATATTAGCTGTTTTAGTAACTGTACATTTTGTATACTTTTAAGCAACTCTTAAATATTACAGGAAAGTAATAAACATATATGGAGACTACAGTGCAGTACCCTATTTACAGTACAGCTGAAGATCGAATTTAAAATAATCAAGTTTGAATGTACATAATTGTTAGTGCATTGACTATATCATGTCCAAAGGGAACAAAAGCTCCCTCCCTTCCCCCAACAACAAAACCTATGTAATGGCCAGCAGTGATTAAACAGAAATCACAGACACCTGGTTTGTTTCATTTCTGTTGAAGAGCTCACATGTTTGAAGGGAACACTATCCATTAAGATGCATTTATCAGTTTTCATATTCCTAAAACAAGATGAGGTTACATTTGACTTTTTTTTACCCCACTAAAAATATCAGGACTGGCTATAATTTAGATGCCACTAAATGTTCGTGTTTTTCCCCCTGAAGATGTAGGACTGTTTTCTTGTGGTTAATTTGTTAAAATGTGGAATGTACATTTTAAATATGCAAACTAAGAGAAATTACCAGTTGCCCGAATACTGTAGCTAAGCATAAATATCTTTAGAACCTCTTTCTAAAAAAAGAATGTTTTTGAAAAGCCCAAATTATTAAGTTCCAAATCTTTTACATAGAAGTGGCTGGTTAACTGTGGGTTTACATCATCCTTTGTCTCTATCCCTGGTAATGAGAAATGATTCCCTAACCGTCCAAGGAAACAAGCGTACACACACAGCTCTCATTCCCCCCCTTCTACTTCTGAAACATTAGTCAGAGGGTCACATGCATGTTATTAAAAATTAAGTTCAAAACACTTAAAATAATTCTGTATTAGAAACTTGACTCTATCATAAGTCTCTTCTTTTTGGAAGTCATACTGGGCTGGTTAAATGCTCCAATTCCACGGTCATTAACATTTAGGAAGCAGAAGAATATTCCATCAAGTTCAAACTGGAGGTTTAGTTACTACAACACTGACTCCTGGTTGGCTGTGTGGGTTCAGTAAGATCTACTCCTCTTCCTCTGGCAGAATTTGCTCCTGGATTCTGTGGTTCATTCTTTGGCAACTTTTTAGCTGAGAGATAAATTATCAAAATAAACACAATTAGAATATCCATATTAGAATTATTATTTTTTTTTTTTTTAAGATTTTCTTTATTTATTTGACAGAGACAGCGAGAGAGGGAACACAAGCCAGGGGAGTAGGAGAGGGAGAAGCAGGCTTCTTGCCTAGCAGAAAGCCCGATGCGGGGCTTGATCCCAGGACCCTGGGATCATGACCTGAGCCGAAGGCAGACGCTTAACGACTGAGCCATCCAGGCGCCCCTAGAATTACTTTCATCTGCTTACTTACCTTTTTTTTCCCCCCCAGCTGGGTTAACCCAAAGTATCACATAGCTATATGCTCATTCTTTTGAAATGTTTATTGAGTATCTACTAGACAATACCAAATACTATTTATTGGTCAGTCCTTAGTGAGGTTAGGGGGTTGAGGGAAGGGTTAGATGAGGAACAGTTACAGACATACAATTAAAACTTAAGTTGACTAGAGCTATATTTAATTCTTTATACATATTCAGTTAGTAATACCAGAATAGTAGTACTTTATTTCATAATCATTAATACCTCTATTGTTGATAGAAAATCTAAGTTAATAAAGATGATGGCCAGCCAATGTTTATAAAGAATCTTAGCTTGTATCAATGATCTCTGAACTGCCACACAAATACTTTGTCACCAGTAGCTCTGCCTACTGTAAATAGACTTGATTCTAAAGTTGCTCTATCTCAAAAAACTATTTCCCAATTCTGAGTTGGATGATCTTGGCTTGCCACATTTGGACAAAGCCCTCAACCAGCAGTTACAGTTTTAGCTCTGCTAAGCTCTATATATAGCTAATGGCTGTTCTCTGGAGCCTGGATCCCACTAATTTAAAGACATACCTGTTAGATGTAGTCTGCTTGAATCCCAAAGATGCTTCATGTGCCGCATTCACGGAATACTATCTCTAAGAGTACCAACTGTAAAGGTGACTAAATACACTGGTCTCTATCAACCTTGGGGGAAGACTACTATGGCTGAATTCTGGCTTTACCTTTGCCATGGCTCAGGCTACCCAAAAGCTGAACATGCTCCACTTCAATACCTAAACGCCTAGTTGCATTTTGGATCTTTTATTATTTATTTGTTTTAATATTCCACATGAACATTAATCATCTTAAGAATCAATGGAAATTTGGGAAGAAAAGCCTTCACCTTGGGCTACTTCTCTAGAAATGGCACTAGGGACGGTAGGGTATATGGTAATAAAATGGCAAATTTCCAGTGGAATGTATTTTCAAACAAAGGCTTGTAGGGACAAAGAGTAAGCTAGCATTTATAAACTTTATTATAATATTAAGTTAGATTTTGAACTGAGAGATCTTTTCTCCCTTTACCATACTTTTCAATGAGCTTTCTGTAATTAGATCTGACTGAAATTGGGAGGTTGAATGAAATAAAGTAGAATGAGAAATTTTTAAGCTTCTATTGGTAAACTTTTACTGTGAGAAGATAAACTAAAACATAACTTAGAGGTCTCAGAAGCAGTCTTCTGTCTCATATCTTATTAAATACTACCAAAATAAAGCTGATAAATATGGATAATTGGAGCTTACCAATTTGCCCCTGAATTAGGATTTTAAGAGGCTAAAAATTCCAGATCAGGTTCATGAAGATGTACAATGAAAGCCACGCAAGCAAAATCTTATCAAATTGAAAGCAGATGATAAATTTATTGTAGACTTTCTCCCACTAAATAACTGTACTCCCTATAGGAAGTCATCAAGAGTGAAAATAATGAGCGCACTATGTGATCTAAGTTACTAATCTGGTAAACAAAATAGAAAGGCCACAATCCAATTTAATCCATGGTATTTCAAAGAAAGAAACATTGTAATTTCAGAAAAATAACTGTAAGTTCTAATATGTAGGCTACTTTCTGACTGGAAAAATATATTATTACCACATCTGAATAAAAGGTACAAATTAAATAAAGTCCAACTGGGGGTGCCTGGCTGGCTCAGTACAGCATGTGACTCTTGAACTCAGGGTAATGAGCTCAAGCCCCACATTGGGTGCAGATTACTTAAAAAAATAAAAAAATAATAAAACAAGCAAGCAAGCCCATCTGGTCGTGGTGTCTTAATTCCATCAGAAAAGTTCAAAGTTCAGCCTGATTTGATGGACTTATTATTTCTTTGATTTCTGTTATTAGCTTTTCAGATGTGATTCTGGGTGTAATCCTGTGTTCTATTTATTAAAAAACCATATTGTTGCACAATCCTTCACAAGTATTTCCCTAGTAAACTTCAAGCCTGAGCTTTTCAGTAAAATACTGTACAACAGGCAAGTTTTTTCCTAATGAGCCTAAATGAGCTACCATTAAGCTCTCTAACCTAGTGAAAGATATTCTGACAGTATTTGTAGCAATTTTCTTTAGCCTCTGAACCAGCTGTTAATTGGTTAATTTGTATGACTTCAATAAAAGGAATACTTCTTATTTGGGGATAAGTTTGTGGGCACCCCAGTTAATAATCACTGCCATATAATAAAAATGTTTTGGAATGAGAAGAGTGCTTGGTGCATGAATAGTGCATAGACAGTAAAACGCAAGAGCCACCAAAGTAGACAATTCTCACAGAATCTGCACCTTAAAATTACTGGAAGGAGGCTAGGGTCAATAGAAATACTTTTAGTTTTGTTACAGAAAATAGGAAGCTTCCTTATTAGTACTCCAACTTCACCAATTATTATCAACAAACGTGGAATCGCAATCATTATCAGTTAAAATTACCTTAAAGGTAAGAGCACTCACTATGTAGGTCAAATGACCAGAGGTAATATAAACCATGTTGTTTTGCTTTCCCTCTTTCTCTCTGTGCCTCAATGATTTGAAACTTTCTCCATTACAATATTTGCGTAAAAGAATTTGTATATTTATGTAACATGTACACGTTTGTGTTATATTTGTCAAAAATGAATTAGATTTAAAAAGAATGTGAGAAACAAAAATAGTGCTTGTTCAGGGCAAAGTAGAGATGAAAATAGTTACTGATCAGTGATAAAGAAATCTCTTTATGCCCATATGTTGTATTGATGAGCTTGTGTCCCCTCTCTCGCTGTCTGTCAAATAAATAAATAAAATCTCTTTTAAAAAAAAAAGGAAGGATCTAGAATAGTAGTAGAATCATTAAAAAAAATGGCTACTTTTTTTTTTTAGGAGATTTTATTTATTTATTTGACAGAGAGAGCACAAGCAGGGGGAGAGGCAGAGAGAGAAGCAGGCTCTCCAATGAGCAGGGAGCCCAATGTGGGGGCTTGATCCCAGGACCCTGGGATCATGACCTGAGCCAAAGGCAGACGCTTAACCGACTGAGCCACTCAGGTGCCCCCAAAATGGCTACTTTAAAAAATACTACCCAAAATTATTTACCAAAAAAAAAAAAAAGTTTTTAAAGATTTTATTTATTTGCGAGAGAGAAAGACGGAGAGCACAAGCAGGGAGAGTGGCAGGCAGAAGGAGAAGCAGGCTCCCTGCTAAGCAAGGAGCCTCATGCAGGGACCCTGGGATCATGACCTGAGCTGAAGGCAGATCTGATTGAGCCACCCAGGTGTCCCAATCAACAGTTTTTATTTATTTTTTTTAAAGATTTTATTTATTTATTTGAGAGAGCGAGAATGAGAGAGAGAGAGAGAGCACATGAGAGGGGGAAGGTCAGAGGGAGAAGCAGACTCCCTGCTGAGCAGGGAGCCTGACGTGGCACTCGATCCCGGG